ACCATCACTGTCTTCCTTTTCAAGGCATTTTACTGTATAGGTTTGGAGAAAACTAAAAGCAAAATCACCCAAAACATCAAACTCCATTGTTGCACTTTGATTATTTCCGTATATTCAAACATTCATAAAAAGTGTTCCTTTATAGGTTAGCTCATTCTTTCAATTGATATGTATTCAGAGTGACCCTGACTATCACTCTATTCATTTTCAAGGCATTTTACTGTATAGTTTTGGAGAAAACTAAAAGCAAAATCACCCCAAACAACAAAATGCGTCCTTCCACTTGCACTGTGTCCCATATTTCAAAACTCATAAAAAGTGTCCCTTTATAGATTAGCTCATTATTTCAATTGATATGTATTCAGAGTGAGCCTGACTATCACTGTATTTATTTTCAAGGCATTTTACTGTATAGGTTAGGAGAAAACTAAAAGCAAAATCACCCCAAACAACAAAATGCATCCTTGCACTTGCACTGTCCCATTTTCCAACACTCATAAAAAGTGTTCCTTTATAGGTTAGCTCTGTCTTTCAATTGATATGTATTCAGACTAAGCCTGAATATCACTGTATTTATTTTCAAGGCATTTTACTGTATAGGTTAGGAGAAAACTAAAAGCAAAATCACCCAAACAACAAAATGCATCCTTGCACTTGCACTGTCCCATTTTCCAACACTCATAAAAAGTGTCCCTTTATAGGTTAGCTCATTCTTTCAATTGATATGTATTCAGACTGACCCTGACTATCACTGTCTTCATTTTCAAGGCATTTTACTGTATAGTTTTGGAGAAAACTAAAAGCAAAATCACCCCAAACAACAAAATGCGTCCTTGCACTTGCACTGTCCCATTTTCCAACACTCATAAAAAGTGTCCCTTTATAGGTTAGCTCATTCTTTCGATTGATATGTATTCAGAGTGAGCCTGACTATCACTCTATTTATTTTCAAGGCATTGTACTGTATAGTTTTGGAGAAAACTAAAAGCAAAATAACCCAAAACATCAAACTCCATTGTTGCATTTGGATTATTTCCGCATATTCCAACACTCATAAAAAATGTTCCTTTATAGGCCAACACTCATATAAAATGTTCCTTTATAGGTTAGCTCATTCTTTCAATTTATATGTATTCAGAGTGAGCCTGACTATCACTGTATGTATTTCCAAGGCATTTTACTGTATAGGTTTGGAGAAAACTAAAAGCAAAATCACCCAAAACATCAAAATCCATTGTTGCACTTGGATTATTTCTGCATGTTCAAACACTCATACAATTTTTTTCCTTTATAGGTTAGCTTATTCTTTCAATTGATATGTATTCAGACTGAGCCTGAATATCACTGTATTTATTTTCAAGGCATTTTACTGTATAGTTTTGGAGAAAACTAAAAGCAAATTTACCCCAAAGAACAAAATGCGTCCTTGCACTTGCACTGTGTCCCAACACTCATAAAAAGTGTTCCTTTATAGGTTAGCTCATTCTTTCAATTGATATGTGTTCAGAGTGAGCCTGACTATCACTGTATTTATTTTCAAGGCATTTGACTGTATAGTTTGGGAGAAAACTAAAAGCAAATTCACCCCAAACATCAAACTCCATTGTTGTACTTTGATTATTTCTGCATATTCGAACACTCATATAAAATGTTCCTTTATAGGTTAGCTCATTCTTTCAATTAATATGTGTTCAGAGTGAGCCTGACCATCACTGTCTTCCTTTTCAAGGGCCGGCCAACGAGTTGGTGTTTTTTCAATGTATGCTTCAGACACGGGTCACGACGAGGCGTTCCCCATAGCGCCCCCTAGAGGACGCAGTTCGAAGTTCCCTTGAAAGGGAATCAGGGTCACTCTGATTACATATCTATTGAAAGAACGAGCTAACCTACAAAGGGACACTTTTTCTGAGTGTTTGAATGTACGGAAATAATCCGTTTTTTTGTGTTTTTGCTTAGTGTTATGTTAGAATCATTATTATACTCATACCTTTGAATTACTTTTTCTTATTTGTAAGTCGCTTTGGATAAAAGCGTCTGCTAAATGACTAAAAGTAAAAAGTAAAGTAATCCAAGTGCTAGGACACATTTTGTTGTATGGGTTGATTTTGCTTTTGGTTTTCTCCAAAACTATACAGTAAAAGGCCTTGAAAATGAATAGAGTGATAATCATGGTCACTCTGAATACATATCTATTGAAGGAATGAGCTAACCTATAAAGGAACATTTTATATGAGTGTTGGAAT